GAGCATGAGACCCATGATATCAGAATCATTAGTTACAATTTCCATATCTCAAGATTACCTCATTATTAGACCTTGCGAGTGTTAGCTGAACCGAATGTTTTGACTAGCACATCTCATCGTTGATGATTCTGAATATTCTGGAATTGCTTGGTGTAGTACTGGCTACTTCTGATGAAAGTATCTGTACCTCTTTAAGCCTTTCACGTTTTTCGTATGTTTCCTAAAACTGAAATTCGTGGACGCGGAATTTAATTACTACCAAAGACATCAAAAGCAATGCAGATTTGGATCAGACTGCTGTAATACGAGGATCTGGGTGCAGCATTGAGATTTTCACTCGATGGGCTTACTGGCAACGCCGGAATTACTATCCTCATGGCTTGCAATTCACAAAATGTTAATTATACCACATGGAGGGAAATTTCATGTGTGATGCGCTGGATTATGTTAATGATGCCATAGATAGTCCGTCACATGTCTCTACCATCCAACTCATCTGCCGAATCTGTATCTCGAAGAAGCCTTGCTCCAATCTTTCAAACACGCCGCCATGGTGATCTGAGCTACTATCTCTAGTGCAACCCCGAAAGGCTCCATGTATGATCCACTGCTATCACTTGCCATCCTTGGGTGCCTAAGCTTGGTGACCAACATTAACCTTTCCGTAGCCCCCGTGTGTCGAGGATCGGTGTCAATTTACGTTGAGATAAGATAACCCTACGGGTAGGTAACCATCGGAACGATTCCGGCGAAACAAAACACGTCAACGAACCCCCACAAGAGATAAGAGAACGCATAGCTCGGAACCGGAAAGCACTCATTTAGATGATTAGATCATGTGATGGTGGCGTATCGCCGACGAAGACCACAACTGTTGACACAAGGAAGTCAGGCCTTAGTCCGAGATCGGGGAGGTCCTCAAGTCAATGAGACCGAGAGCTGTGGGATGCCGATATCTACAATAAATGATATCCAACGTCTTCCATACTTAGCTACCGTCATGCCCGGTGCGATTCTCGACAATTGCCTGTTTTACCTGACAGCCATAAATGCTCAATCAGACGGGGAGTACCCAACTGGTAAGTGCGTTAAGGACTGAAGCATCCTGGCTAATGAACAGAAAAGCTGCTTATATAAAGCTCTTGCTCAATGGACCATGATGTTCTGCATGTTCCAAAAAGTCCGGCCGCAACTTTCCTTTCTTTCAATTTGAAATCTCGCAACGTCCCTGCGAAGACCGAAGAGCGATTCAGTGGGTGGGCTCAATTGTATCTTGAAATTGATAATGGATGTTCAGCATATGCCGCAAGACCACTCGCAATTGCGTCGCGATCGGTATTAGTGGGTTTACATCTATCGGCGGCAACTGACAGCCTGATGACACGCAGACTTGGTGTCGTGGCTTTCAGCTCGAGGGTCACTTGGTTAAGTGCAGTCCGAGCTTGTTGATGCACAAGTTATCCGGCATCTAAATATGATCGTCTGCCCATACGGTGGACCTGAAATACGTTATGGTGCACCCAGCTCCCATCGGCCGAATTTGGCGACTCGCCCGGGGTGCATGTCGTGTTCGACAGAATTAGGCTCTTTGTGTGGATTCAATATATTTGTTTTCTATAGTGCTCGACACGGAGACCGAAAGGGAGGCCAGGTCGATTCCCCGAATCCAAATTTTCAATCGCCTAAATTCCTCGTCGTATCTTGTAGAACTTGAGGATTGGCACAGCTTGAGCGCCTATTGATGGGAAGTAGGTGGTTTATTTTGCAGACAGCACTTGGATCTCAAAAGGATCAAGTTGAAGAAATTCTGCCTTTTTAAGCAGCCGCAAGACCCGCCTTCCGCCTGCAGGCCATCTTAATTTCCATCGTGATCGATGTGCGTCCGACAACCCCTGAAATTCCCACGTGCGCGACAATACACGCTTTGATCATCCCTAGGCCCTTTCGCATCCTCAATGTCGCCCACATCCAAAGCCCATGTTGGCTCAAAAGTGTTCTGCGTTTAAGCAGCGGTCTCGACCTTGATGCTGGCCGAGCCGGCGGACTGGTAGCCCTCGGTGGCGACGATCATGTAGTCAAATGAGGTACCGAGGGTCATGCCAGCGTTCTTCCAGGCGGTGAAGAAGTTCTGGGTGGTGACGGTGCCGCCGACGCGCTTGCTCTCGCGAATGGCCCAGAACTGCTTGAAGGTCTGGGTGCCGTCGATGGACGGGGCGTTGGTACGGGTGCTCTCGTACAGCTTGTAGACGGAACCGTCGGAGGTGACCTGGCCCTTGAGGGTACCAGCGCTACCGGGGTTGTACTCGCCGTGGTTCTCGACGATGTAGTACTCGATGAGCTGTGAAGGTTTGGGTCAGCGAGTCTGCTAATGTGCACTCATGTAGTAACAGGTCACTTACAGGGTTTCTGGTCCATCCGTAGACGGTCAGGTAGCTGTTGCCGTTGTTGACGGGGGACCAAGTGCCAGAGTACTTGATGCTCTTGGCACCACCAGTCTTCCAGCCCTTTCCACCGACAAAGTTGCCGCCAGACTGCCACTGGATGCTGTAAGCGCCAGCGGCGCCGTTGGTGTATGTGACGGGGGAGGCGCCATCGGTCCAGAAGCTGTAGAAGTAACCGTTGCTGGTTCCCTGGGAGGAGGGGGTCGAAGCGCGCTTGATGAGGTCGGTGGTCATGGGCTTGTCGGTGGCGGGGGCGGCGAGGGCGCCGACGACGGCCAAAGAGGCCGTGAAGAGAGAAGTGAATGAAACCATATTGACAGGTTGGTTTTTGATATGTACAGAAAAGGTCAAGAGAACGAATGTAGCGGTCGGAGTATGAACAGAGAGGCTGGTGAGGCTGAGAGAGGAGGAAAGGAGAGCATCGTGGGATGGGCGAGGACGAACCCCGTCCTTTTCAATCTAATTCTTTCTCGATCGTTTCTCTGGGCCCAGAGCAGCAACCGATGATGGGATGACAGGGGAAAACGGAGATTCAAGTGCCGTTTCCTATGGGTATTTGGGCATCGGTTGCATGGGAACTGGGGGTTGTGTTCTCGATGGGACCGCCTTGCCTAGAATAAACTAACGTCGACCCGCGTGGGTAGCATTCTTGGGACCGGGTGGGAACTTCAAGAAGTTGCTCTCTTAGCAGAGTTGCGCGAAGTTTACGAGCTTGTCGGTTTTGGGGTGACAAGAGCCTATGTGTGGTTCACTGGCTCATCACCAACCCCTGGGAAATCTTTCCCAAACGGTCGATGAGTGGCCGGCCGTGATGGACCGATGAGGAACTGTGGGGTTCCGCCAATGGATGTGTCGAGTTTAGGTCAGGAGTCGGATTGAGTGGCCGCATCGTCGGGAGTAAATGAACCAAGCCGGGGCCGACGTTGCATGATCCTTGCTACGCTCTCCGCAATTTACGCAAGGGGCATGCTCCGGCACTGCGGCCGAGAAAGCGGTTCCTCTTTTATTTTCTCGGGAAAAGAGTCTTAGAGGCAAAGAGGCAGCTCGTCCGTCCCCCTATTACACATGATCGCTTGTTTAGCCGGCCATGCCGGTCTCCAGGATGGCATTTATCCAGAACAAATGACAGCTGAGATTATCCCAGAAGCCATCTTAAAGTTGGACGGGATCTCGAGCATCATCTTTAAAACAAGCTGTTAAGGTTCGGGATGGTGGCACTAGCAGCGGCCCGTGAACGATTCAGCGGCACTTGGGGGGCATGCTGCGTGACTGCTGACCTCGAGGTGGGAATAGATCTCTTTAGCCGTCGGCTGAAGTCATCTAGTGGTCTCCGGAGCAGAGGAACGGAGGCTGCGAATCTTAGCGTACCAGATTCACTGCCTTTTTTTTTTTGAATCTCGCGAACAATTAGCTTCCATGGTGCCAGTGTGGGGAAAAGCATGAACGCCGAGGTTTAGTCGGCCGGCTTATAAGGTCTCTTATGATAGTACCATATTTTCTTGTGCAGCCGCACCCAATCTTTTGTTCAACCTAGTAATAATCTCGAAACTCGATTCCGGGCCACATTCATTCTAGCCCGCCAAGTAACCACGGGAGTCATGCCGGTACTTTAATGAGATACCTATGTTACACTGCTTTTGCCGCCGGATCTGTACGTTTGACTTAGACGCCGCAGCGTGAGTATCTTTCGTTCTCTCTTACATTTTCCTAGGCGCGCGGTCTCAACTGACGTCAGTTCTAAGTCTGAGCTGTCCCTCGCCATAAAGCTTCCGGATTAACCACACTCATCCCTCCAGAGTCCAGAGCGAACGGAACCCTACGCCATGATGAACCGGGTTTGTCTGGCCTCTGCCGATCCCTGATCTACGCCACATTCCAACGTATGGCCGTTCTCGACCAAGCCTCCGAGTTTGTCCAACGCCTTGGATCCTCTCTGCCATAATGCCGATTTCCACGTAGTTGGATGCTTGGTGGGATCAAGTGCTGCCCCCGAGCCACATCCCCACCCAATCGATCCTGTGCCACCATCCAGCCGCTAACATAAGCAAAGCAGCGACGCCAGCGCCAGCACGCCCAGCTCGCTCTTCTTTGCATTAGCGGATGGCAAGCGAGGGACCCTGACTTGCACAACGGGGCGCTCGGCCTGCACAAACCCCGCATTTCGACGCGTCCAGACTTTCCCCCTTTCTGACCAGACCTCCCCCAGAAACGAAAGGGCAGCAAAGACAGCAGACGAGACGACGTCAGTGCGAGCTCTGGTGGCACCACCCTCCGCCTATTGGCCACCCTTTGTCGTCCTGTAAGTGAGAGGTGGCTGTCATGCCTCCTCATCAGATCATAAGTCGCACCCTTCGAAATGCGGGGTGTGTCGACCGCCGCCTCTTGCGGGTGAAGCCGTGGGAGCAGCAGAAGTGGCACAACTCAACGTCGCAGGCGGTGAGGAGTCGTGGTGCTTGCCTTCCCTTGACATGCCATCAGCGAGACCCGTCGACAACGACGACGACTCCGAGCAGACGAGGTTTCCATTCTTCTAGCTGTCATCGCGAATCTGACGACAAAATGATGCCGATGTTGTCCATTGGGGGATTGCCGCGGTCCAACTCGTGCAAGACGCACGCAAAGGCGCGGCTCAAGGAAACCCTCACGCCTGATCTGCTTGAGAAGCTCCGCCGGTTCTGGTTCAAGCATCTCAAGACCGATGAGGCCTATATCTTACCTCAGAGGAGCCAGATGGGCCGATGGTTCTACTCCGACGTCGACTTTGATGAGGCTTGCGTGTATGTTGTTCTTTAGATCGCATCAAAGATCATTCTGCTAATGTGCACCTACAGGAAGAAATTCCGCCCCGTTTTGGAGGCCATGAAGTCAGCCAAGATCACAACTCGAGACATTCTCACAATTGTGAGGCCATTCACACCTTTGCAGTGGCTCGGTCTGGTCCTGCTCCTAGACCAAGTCCCGCGAAACATCTACCGGGGTCCAGAGTCATCGACAGTCTTTAAGTTCTTTGACCCAATTGCGCGCGAAATCGCACGTCACGCCATCAACGCCGGCGCCGCGACTCACAACAGGATCAAGTACCGCGTGGCCTACCGCATGTGGTTCTACCTGCCCTTCATGCACTCCGAGGACCTGGCGCTGCACGACTTTGCTGTGGCGCAGTACCAGCAGATGAAGGACGATTTCGAGGAGCTGATGGCTGAAGACGGGGAGGTCGGCAGCGACGATCAGCGCAAGTGCTGGGGCGTATTGGCGGTGCAGAAAGAAGCTGCTAGAGACCTGCTGGAGACGAATTGTGACTTTGAGACGAAGCATCGCGACATTATTGTACAGTTTGGACGATACCCGCATAGGAACATGGCCATGGGCAGGGAGTCTACTGCGCAGGAGAAGAAATATCTTGAGACGGGTGGCGAGACTTTCAGCGCTGCGAGCTAATCCGGTGGCCCCTTTTTGTACAACACTACTAGTAATCAGCCGTGATTTCTTATCGATGGTAATGGCATTGGGTGATATGGGTTTCAAGGGATAGGGACAACATGTAATCGCAGCTTTGATGTTATTTGATTAAATTCCTATGAACTCTTTTCATAATCATAAGCCTGCTGTCTGTATATCATGTCCTAATTTCACCATTGGTATCCCTTAAGATTAAGTAGCCGTAATACTAGATTTTTAAAGAGACCAGGAGTTCGCGCCGTACTTCAAATACCTAGGTAAGTCATTCTATAGTATTTTCGAGTTGATGTTAATATTCTACCAATGCCACGTGTTTGACTGGCTGAGGTTCTGCTGGGGTGTCTTACGATAAGCGTGATTCAAATACAATCGTGTGATTGAGACGAGAAACCACTGCCGTCAGTGATATGTTGTCATACTTGAGGGCCAGAAGTGTGGAATGATGTCATGGCTCTTGATGCTAGGAACTCGTCAATTGATATTTGTCACCGACGTCGTTGGTGCACTCGTGTAAGCATTCGTTTCTCTACTGCTCTTATCCTGCGTCCATGGCATCATACAGTCTCAAATCTAGCCAATGCTAAATTCCAACAGCTCTGGGCGAAAACGACCGACGGTGGTTAAGTGAAGCACCGTGCCTGGTTGATTTGACCCGTGCGATCACGCAAACGGGAACTGTCAACACTCCCGATGGAGACACTTCTGATAGAAGATTGTGATTTCATGTGGTTGTTGTCTCCTATCGAAACGACTCGTGTGAGTTTTTATAGTACGTGCACTCGAATATTCCAAGTGTGTGAGTGGAAGATCTTCAACTCGAATCCCGATACTTGTCGACTATATTAAATGGCAAATTCCATGGAGAAACGACATTGACACAAGACAAAGTCTCAGGACCAGTTGTTTCTCTATCGTATCAACTAAGTGTTCAGTCTCATGAGCAGTTTCAGCTATCTTCAATAGGAACCTTGACAACATTACGATTGATCACCGATTACTTAACTTCAACATACAAAAGGAAATCCACGGTTACGCGACTGTTCCTTGAGTCTCGCAGCCTCAACTTCTGCTAACGTACCTCACTACAACTAGCCGATTGTAACAAATTTATCCTATTAAGCTCATGATCTATGAATACAAGAAGCATAATGTTGCAACACTGAATAGCATTCTCCATAACAGACATGTCTTAATAACTTATTCCACGCTTAACCGCCCCCCGCCCCCTCCTCTCAACCCTCACATAAGGCATCCCCCTATTCAAATGTTAATGAAGTACAAAGTTATTGCTGAAAGAGCCTTCAATCGATAGAGTGGGGCCATAGAGACCACAGACAAATAGGGGTCAATAGCGCGAGTCCTCCTCTTGGCGCGCGGTAGTGACGCATTCTTTGGTGCAACACGGGTGCTCACATGGCGAAGTGTTGCACAAAGGCCTATGTATGCAGTTTATTGCAACTCCAGGCTTCGAGATGACTGATACTCGCGCGGTTATTACGCTTGCTGTTCTCGGAGCCGGAGTTGTTCAACGCGCCGCACCAGGGACAAGATACATTTAAACCCAGCTGATGCGAATGAAAACCCTTCCCGCTTGACCTAATATCTACTATTTCATTTAGACAGAGCGATTGAATCTCGACTTTCAACTTTCCGACATGCCTCTTATCGTCGTTACCGGAGCCACGGGCACTCAGGGTGGTTCTGTCGCCCGCATCTTCGCCAAAGACCCGGCTTGGAAAGTACGAGGTCTGACTCGGAACCCAAAGAGCGATAAAGCCAAGGAGCTCGAGAGGCTTGGAATCGAGATTGTCTTTGCTGATCTCAATAATTCTTCAACTTTATCTGAAGCCTTCTCGGGTGCCACGGCAGTTTTCGGGACGACAAACTTCTGGGAAATCGCTCCCAAGCATGGCTTAGAGGCTGCTGAAAAGGATGAGGAGCAGCAGTTCATCAACATTGCTGATGCTTGTACCCAGTGTCCGACTCTCAAGCATTTGATTCTCAGTACGATGCCGAATTGTAGAGATATCTCTAACGGCAAGCTTCCATGTCCCCATTGGGATGCAAAGGCGAGGGGCGGGGAATACGTGAAGAAAGCCCATCCCGGCCTTGCAGCAAAGACTACCTACGTGTGGTTAGGATGGTATCTGGACAATATGGTCAACCAGCCTTTGATGTTTCCTCAACCGTATCTGGGACAATACATCTTGGCGCAACCATCTAAGGCTGATGGTATCGTCCCTGTGGCCGGAGTCGTCTCCCTCAATACTGGTATTGTCGTCCATGCCATCATCTCTCAGCCGGACAAGACGCATGCAAAATACGTCCCGATTGCAACCGACTTTATACCATGGATAGCGGTGGTCGAGGGATGGAGCAAGACTACTGGCAAGCCTGCCGTGTACGCCGAATTAACGGACACGGAGACCTCCAAGCTTGTCGGACCTGTATTTGGTCCCGAAATGGCTAGTCAATTCAGGTTCAGTGAACAATACCCCGATTGGTACAGCTATTATCCTCAAGAGACCATATCTATCGGCAATCTTGGTATCGAGGCCAAAGTATACAACTTTGCGCGAGGGCTCGAACACTTGAAGGACGAAATCAAAGCCACGCTTGTTTCTAAGGCGTAGTGCTGTGGTTATGTGACATTCCTCCAGACGAAGATAGCCAGACTGTAATGTTCGAGCTTTTGCAACGATGTGAAGCAGGACTTAGTCATTTATCTAGTGCGGTTCTGAGCTAGGTAGAATACAGAATGCTTAAATCACTTGCACGAGCTTTGTTAGTATGGTATGGATTCTATCAGTGAAGTTCATACTAACCGTAAGCAATTTGTTACCCGATTTACTACACGAAGTCATTCTTGATGGCTTTAAGAATCATCTTAGAACTAATATTATATGCGCTCGTGAAAACTATGTTTGGCAGAATAGAGTCATTTTCGAGAGATTCGTATGGAGTATCAGTTGCTATGATCATTATCGACTCAGCTAGGTCTGACGACCAAGCCAGACTCATTGTGAGTTGCGTACTGTCAGGAAATCGCTTGCTTCTTTGACCTTCGCCAATGCAGAGATAGGCAAATATCTCTCATCTGACACAAATCATTGAACTCCAAGCCGGAGAATTAAGATTTGGCGTCGATCCTTAGGAGACCAGTCGAAGTGATTAATCTTTACTTCTCCTTTCGTAAGGAAAACTTTATGAGTAGGCCTCATTGCAGGCTTCTTGGAGTTCACAACCCGAATTAAGTTACGCCATGAACCTGGTATTGTCGGCACGCGGATATCAATCGCCGTAACATGGTACATTCAATAGTTGCGACTGAGTTAAGTGAACTTACACATTCAACAAGAGTACTCAGTATGTGTGATCGCCAGAATAGGAAAGAATTCGCCGAGGCATTCAACTAGTCAAGTATCCCTACCCTGTACGTGGACAAGTTGTGTAGCTCCAAACTGTAATCTTGTTCAGCACATAGCGCGCGGTTAACGTCGCAGGGATCATGCTCAAAGAGTAAATACTCGAGATGATCCGACCGCGGACCAAGTAGGATGCTCAGAGGAACGCCGGGACTCCGATTTTGTCCGTCTCAAATTGTATTTTCTCGTTTGATTTGTTGCGGGTGGAAGCTTCTCCAATTAGAGTGTGAACTTACCACAGCCGCTAGCAAGCAACTACCATCGACATGGACCCCCAGGGGGGGTGGGGGAGATGCACCGGAGAAAGCGATGCCAGTCACCGGGGAAAGCTCAGGTAGCCGATGAAGTTTACGGTCGTGTCGTAGTCTCAGCTCGTAGGTCCAGCGGGCACATTTTCGTGACCTCGCACTACCAGTTCCGGGCTGCCCCTTTCGATTTCCAGTGTTGACTGACACCTGCCACGAAAACGAAAATCTTGGCCTTGCTCACAAATCCGAAGTGGAATCTGGCTTGTATCAATGAGGCATAGCACACTTGGACTTGGATCATGCCGCTGGCTGCTATCTAGCATATATAGAACCCCAGAGTTCATCCTAAGTCTCGTCCCGAACAAGCTTAACGACTTGAAACACAACTTAATCAGTTTTCTCTTACGCCGCACCGCTATGTTGTCCTCAATAATCCTCAACCTGGCATCTTTGGGTCTTCTGTCCTGCTTGGGTACTGCCGCTGCAGCCTTGCAATCAGGAGTTTTGTTCCAAGCCAACATTACCACTGGACAACAAACATCTTTCGGTCCTGGTCCTAAGGGTACCAGACTTTCTATACCAATTCTTGGGGGCACACTTACGGGATCCAAGCTTTCAGGTATGCTTGCGTCGACCAAGAAAAGGGTTGAATTATTTTGCATTGGGCTGACAACTTTGCCCGGCCAGGCGAGGTGCTGAGCATAGGCGCAGACTGGGGCCTCATTGACTCGAAGGGCACGTTCAACGTCGACGCCTACTATCAAATTCGCACCAACGATGGCGTCGACATTTTTGCCCACTCCCAGGGCCCTAGCCAGCCGGATGGACGCATTTTGACGCACATCACACTAGAGACTGGTAATGACGAGTACTACTGGGTGAACAATATCGCAATTGCTGGAATTACGACGGTTGGTAATGATTTCATCGTCATAGAGGCGTACCAGCTCACCCCGGATGCCTGAAAGCGTAGGTGTGCTGGTTAATGTAACAAAGTTTTGCATCTTTGGGAGATAGGTCGCTCGAATCACGCGTATATTGAGCTGCGATAGATTCTTGGCGCTGCAGCAGGCACACCTTTTTTGCTTGGAATTGTCGCTATAGCGCCTAATATGAGCTCTTTTCTGTTGAACCACACTGCCGCCGCTTGCTTCCCGCCCAGCTATGATTGGTGTAATCTAAGTTTTGCGGAGAGCCTTTTCCCTCGTTTATAAATTCAGATGTGGTACAACATTGCACTGCAGGTTTCACATCTCCAGTCGTAATCATACAAGATTAAAGTTCCGTCACTGGCTTGAGCTCGTCTAAGGAATTAATGCTGTACAAATTTGTGTTGCACGTACTGCATTGTCGCAGATCGTCTGACGTGGTCAAGCAGACCTTGCCCCGGATTCAAGAGCCTTCTAATCCACATCCCACCCGTGAGAAGAGAACTATACCTGGATGGTCATACGGCGTCACCATACATGTAGGTTTCGAGCAGTGCGCGCCCCTTTGTGCTACAGCGTGCTTCGATGGTATTGCACAAGGTTCGGCCGTTGTAGCCTGCTCCTTCGCCGTAACTACATATACCCATCCTGACACGCTGCTTTCTCGCTGCTCGCTCTTTCACGTAACGCGCTTGAAAGAGGCCGACGCAAAACTCTCCACCCGTTCCAGCAGTATCTCAAGTTGAGAATCATATGCTCTTAGTCAAGGAAACTTGTCAAATTCATAAACAATGCTTATTATCTCTCGGTTCTCCAACTATGTCGCGGTCCTCTCACTCTGGGCTACCATGATGCTCTGGGCAAAAGCTGCCGCGGTTGAGTTTCTGTCATATCAACCGTCATTTTCCAAGCTGATAGGTCAGAATGCGACTGGCAAAGTCGCCCAAGAGACTTCATGGGAAGCCTTTCATGAGGGTGGTATCTATAATAAGAAGGATAATTCGCTGTACATCTCCTCTAACTTCGACACCGTCGGCAACCCCATCAACATCACAGTACTATCTCTCGACGACCTTTCAATTCGAAGTCAGCGGTACGTCAACCTGAGCATGCCCAATGGCGGATCAGTATTTCGTGCCAATAGAGGAGGAAGGTATATGGGGTCAGACCAGACTTTGCAAGTTTGGTGTGATCAGGGCGACACGAATCATTATTCCAAGCTAGTCTCTCTTGACCCTAGTGCCAACCAAACAACAACGCTTTTCTCAAGTTTCTTCAACCGGAACTTCACGTCTATAAATGACGTCCGTCAGCACCCGGAGACCGGTGATCTCTGGTTTACCGACGCTACATACGCCTACTTCAATGGCTTCCGCCCCAGCCCTCAAATGCCTACGCAAGTCTATCGGTATGATATGGACAGTAAAAGTATCCAGGTTGTAGCAGATGGCCTTCAACAGCCGAATGGGATCGAGTTCTCGCCGGATTACAAGACGCTGTACGTCTCTGACACAGGCGCTGCTACGACAAGATTGACTCCTACAGGTCCGGCGACAGTCTACGCCTTTGATGTCGTCAATCGGAAAAGGAGCTTGACGAACAAAAGGGTCCTCGCCTACGCTGATAATGGAATCCCCGATGGATTACACACAGATATCGAGGGAAATGTTTGGGCGTCCTGTGGCGACGGAGTCCACGCGTGGGACTCTTCGGGAGTTCTGCTGGGAAAGATTTTCACCAACGACTACACAAGCAACTTTGCTTTCGTCCCAGGAGGGATGTTCATCTTCTCTAACAAGCGTCTCTGGGTCATTGAAAACCTTATTGCTCTTGGAAGAGAGGTCTGCGACGATTTTGGTTCTCATGTTGACCGGCGGTGCAACGAGCGAAGGCATTAGGTCACTGAGTTTACAGAAATCAAAGACTGCTACCAAGACATTGTAGTACGGGACGTTGAATCATTAGATATCTCCACTTTATAGCTTGATATTTTGACAAATGTCTCCTTCGCACCTGCATCAGGATAATGTACAGTTTGACTTGATTGTTTGTTTTCACCCTGTTTCCCCCCTCCGCCCGTAGCTCATGTAATATATGGATCCGGACCCCCCGCGCGGGTGTGGAAGGGTTGAGACCCACAGTGGCTTCAGAGACGAGCGCTTGGTCAAAGTGCCGGCTTTCATGTTGGTGCACCCCGCGCGCCAATTTGTCAGGCTGACAACGATTGTTCAGGGCTATGGCGAATAACGACGAAGTCTCTTACGTTCTGCTGCAATCTTGAATCTACCGATTGCTTATCCTAATAATCCACAGGCTCTGTGGCTCAGCACTTTAGAATGATGCCATACACGGCGGATACTGTGCTTGGCATGATATTAGTCTTTTGCCGCAACTTTACACCCAAATCGTCTGCATAACAGAGAAATATCTCGAAGGAGCAAACCTGGGTCTTGGGTGCGCGATCAGCTAGCCTGGGTGATCTCCGGCACCCAGTCCCCAGAAATCGATCTTAAAAGAAGGAAGACAACTATGGAAGGTTCCGCGAAATGTATCAATCAAATCCTCTCGGACTCAATGGCATTTCAGTTGAGTTGTGGTGACAGCGCAGGTGAGTGTATTCTTGGCCAAAAACGAGAAAATAATCTTCATACGAAAACTTTGCGCTCTTGGTGGATAAGGTTGGCTGTTGATGGAACGCATCTTAACCTGTCTCTTCACGTGTCGTCTTGAATGGTTATCTTTGGAAAAGTCAGGTAGGCAGGAAAGGGTAGTGAATCAAGCCGGCCAGAATAGCATGCCTCTGCTTACATCTTGCCCATTTCTTCTCCTTGCAATTACTACCTTACGAATCAAAAAGATTTGCATGCTACACCTACATGTATATAGTGTGAAAAGATGCACTTATGAACATATCTATGTGGCTCCATATATGTATATCCACTTTATCTAGTTCATGTCTTGAGGATCCAAGTCTTGGCCCGTAAACTAGTCCGAGAAGTCTCGCCCTCGGAGTCCGTAGGGCCGCTTACATGATGGTTTCCCCATGGTTCATCGTGAAGGCGTATCGAATGAGAGTCCCATGGGATATGGCGAAAGCAGTGTGGGTCACACCGTCTAGCTGACTGACCCTAGCCTTCTTGGTAGCGTGTCATAATGAAAAATGCTTGCCCGCTATTTGCGTTGAGCCTAAATTTCCGTCTTACAAACTCAAGAATCAATGATGACAAAAGTTTTGGAAATGCAAGGATCCAAATGTGATTCCATTGCGTTTCTGGTCTATCGTGAGCAATGGGTAGCGCTAGGCTGACCTCAAGGAGGATTTAGTATATCACAATCGACGAAAGATTCTGTTCGTATAAATAGGTGGTTGCTTCCTGACATGAGCCGTAAAATTGTCAACGCACAGCATTCTCTTTACCTTCCCCAACGACACTTCAGAACGCTTTTCAAAATTAGGATCACAAACCGTCTATACAATGGCTCTACTGTCTTTCTGTAGCCTTCTGCTTCTGATCAGCGCTGTTTCCAGCTTTGCCAGAGCTGATGGTGAGAATTCTACGAACATTATTTTCTTGGCATGTGCTAATTCGAAGCAGCTGTCCCCTTCGAGAGGCTTAGTCAGAATGACTCGGTTCGTTCATTAGTAGTCAATGGGTTCTAGACCGCATTATTGATACATTGTACAGGTTCTCTTGATCGTCGACCACCAAGTTGGGCTGTTCAACTTGGCCCGAGACTTCGATGGCCAACTTTTCTACAGAAATGTGATTGCTCATGCAGCCCTCGGGAAGCTTTACGACCTACCGGTCATTATTACCACATCTCAGGAAGAAGGTTGAATCTGACTGTTACGAGGCTTCGGGTTTATCGACTGTTACTAACGAGTGGTAGGTCCTAATGGTCCTCTTCCAAAGGAGATCCTTGACATGTACCCGGACGTCCCTGTCATCAAGCGTCCCGGTGAGATCAATGCGTGGGACAATGCCGAATTCAGGGATGCCGTCAAGGCAACTGGTCGTAACCAGATGATCGTTGCCGGTATTGTGACCGATGTTTGTAAGTTTTTTCATAACTCTCAAGGTAAATACAGCGTTCTTACTGAATCATTGATCAGGCGTTACTTTCCTGTCTCTGTCTCTCCGTGAAGAAGGTTATAGCGTCTGGGCTAATGTCGAAGCATCTGGCACTACCTCAGAGCTTATCCGCGATGTATCCAACTCTCGCATGCAGGCAGCAGGTGTGCACCTAGCAGGTCTGTTCAGCATCGCAGCTGATCTTTTCAAAGATTGGCGCGGTCCTCCGGGTGTTGCGAAGATGTCGGATTGGTATACTCAGTATGCGCCGGCGTACCTTCTGAATGCGCAGCTTTTCAATGCAGCCATTGGGACTGCTGTGGGAGACGGCACCCGTTAAGAAAATGCTTGAGACCGCATCTTGAGCCACAATAAGTGCACTGCTACTTGTAATCAAGGTTCTACATCCTCAAAATCAGTGTAGCTAGTAGCTGGTCCAGAGCCGGAGTGGATTTGCTTCCTGTCATGCTTAGGTTGATAGAGACTTCCCGACCACAGTTATGTGTGGTCGCTTCTCACACAATCATAGACGCGCAATATTAACATGCCGTTCTGCATACGAAGACAACCTGGTCGTGAAGGTAACGAAAGACAAGGGTTCACCGGTAGACTTGGACGAAGAGTTTTGCTATTTGCACAAGCCGCAACTCGAGGCTGATTGACCTTACTAGCCTAGTCTCAACTTAATGAGAATGTGAAGTATTCCTTTCCTTCTCTGATCATTGATTTTAGAAACTATCTATGATCTACATGCATTCTAGACATTGCGTACGCAATTGATCGTCTCTTGCTGGCACTGGCCTATATGGAACGGAGACTCCGTTAAAAACAAACATCCAGCTGCTTAAACATCGTGGCTGAGTCGATAGGACTATCGTATCACTATCGTGTAATCAGGAGAACAGGCTGCTGATTATTCTATATCGCTATGTAGCCAGCACCTCAGACATCTAAATCCATGCCCTGTCGCGCAGCTTTCACATTGGTGTAAAGCGCGTTGAATCTCATGTAATTCTGAACATCATCGATGCCAACCACGAAGGGATTGGCTGCATCAGGCTGGCGATGACTTAGAAGGTCGGCTTGGAACAAGGCGTGGTTGGCAATTTGGTGGCTCGATATTAGCGTGTCAACGCCCTTCATCTTGACCACATTGCCAAGATGATTCTGGGACACAATCTTCTTCTCTCTATCAACCTTGGGTGCGGGGATGCCAGTGCCGCCATTCAAGCCAGCGATATGAGGAACGCCCTGTTCAAAGACGGGGAAGACGAGGGACAGGTTGCCAGGGGAATGACCAGGAGTGAGTATAGACATGAATGTGACGTTGCCGACAGTGAGCTCCTGTTTGTCGATGAGGATCTGGTCTCTCATAGGCGGTGTTGGAATTGCGCTGGCGAGAGCAGCCATGGATGTCTAGGCAGCCTCGGAAGCCCAAAGTGTGGTGTTAAAGGTGTCTTTGAGATATTTGGCGCCACCGTCATGGTCGACATGCTCACGGGTGATAATGCAGTGTTTGATATCAGACCCCTTGAAGCCGAACTTCTGAAGGCCGGGGATCAGTATGGCATTGATTTCTTCCGGGTTGTCGAGAGCATCGATCAGAACGATACCGTCGCCGGTATCATACACCCAGGCAGACACGAAGTTGTGACCGACAAAGGGAGCCGGTCAAATGGTGAGAACGGCTTGACAAACCCGGCGGGAAATCGGAATAGTGAAGGGTGCACCTGCTGAGTGATGCAGAAATCCTGGAAGTACTGATAGAGAGACCAGGTCTTGGCGAGATCAACGGCTTCGTTCAGGTATTTGGTAACGTTCTCGGCTTTTCCGTTTGGGAAGGTCGTTCTATTGAAGAACTGGTCCAAAGTCGCAATTTGCGCGCTCACAACGGACAAATAAAGGGTGAGACAATAGGCGAGAAGGTTAGGAATACTGTTACTAAACATATTGGAAGTTCAACGAGTTGCCGAGATTGAATGAGGATCGAACAAGAGTCAAACACCATGACGTTTTCAGCGGATTGTACGTTGAAGTGTACAATTTCACGTCAATGCCGGATGAAACGCTTGGATTCATACTCCGGTTGTCGGGTATGATGTTCTAGGCCCTGATGTAGATACTTGAGACGGTCAGATCACCCTTCGAATTTTCCTCACGGTGAACCCAGTTTTGTCCCAGGCAATTTAGCTTGGAGGGGCTACCGCACGCATTACAGGTGACACCTCGTCTAGACTCTCTTTTCAGAAAAGATGCATATGAACGATGGCATCTTGCCTCTCCACATGAGAGGCAGTGAGCTTGACGTTAAAGCCTCCTCAGCCTCCAATACCTATCCATAAATCCACGTTCGCTTTTCACCGCTATGCGAGATGTTTCGATGCCTCCATGTTGCCAACGCTTGCAAAGTCTGCATTAGACGCCGAAATTTAAAGCCCAACTCGTTATTACGTATCGAACGGAAATGATTTCTTTGTTGACTTGCAAGCCATACGTTTGGCTAGTTCGGTACCTGCTTCGATATTTCAAAGGTGGCGGAATGTCATTCATAGTGACGGATGCCAAGATCATGATCCTGGATTGTGTAATTAAAAAGTGTACCGTATCGTGTGATTTCCCTTGGAAGTCTGATCCCGTTAAGGTCGATCATTTGCGCCTGTAAAGCCGGAAAAAGACCACCACATGATCCTGGATAATCATTATCTGGCAAACGAATACTCTGTTCGACCAAATTTTACAGCCCCATATTCTCCTTTTTACGGACGAGTAACATGTCTATGTCTCTAACTCGGCGAAAAACTTCTGTATTCAACGGTCTAGGGACCCCTGATCAGGAATTTAGGGGGCGGGGAGACGACGCGTCATCTCTACAGGTATATGTAGGCATGACTCACAATATTCTTACTGATGGAAAGATCTGTCGTGATTGGTGACTAGAAACTTAAGCATCATTAGGACATCCAAATTTGACGGGAAATACCCGCCGTGGGGCATAGTCAAAGTCTAAGCGGATGCAATTCGACTCCGAACCCCTCACTCGGGCAAGGAGGGTGCTTCATCATCGGCGAGGCCTTCCTAGTTCAAATTGTTCTGTTCAGAACAGCTTTATTCAAGCTATGTCTGTATTTCGGGAGCGATGGCAATGGATTCGGTGATCATTCTTGATCTTATCTGAAGAATTTCCAGCAAAGATATCTAAAAGCAATTCTTACGGCGCAACATACTCAGTGCGTTAGGGCCTGCATGGCTCAAACAGTGTAAGACATGTTGACGCTACCATTATGCCCGCAGCTATCATAGGGGGCCAGTCTGCCAACGCTGTGGTCAGACTGACCACAACAGGAGAACTGTGCTGGACCAGCGCAGTGCATCAACCGCCCTGGTCCTCACACGGACAGCCCACATGAGTATCCAGCTCGGCTAGAGCGCGTATCCGGCGTGATTCAGTAAAAAGCAGTAAGGACATGCCGGGGACGGGCGCAGAGATCTAGGACCGAAAACGTCACATAATGATACACTCCTGATCCACAGCTCAACCATATACATCGTCCAGACAGGTGAACATATGTTCTCCAAGTCCACCTGCCACAATTACCGGGACAAAAAAACTTCCATCTTGTGAGTCAAAATTTCTCAATTCGAAAACCTTAACAAGCCACATAAGCCCAGATTACCGGGCAACTCCGTTTGCTCGGCCGCTGTCTAACGTCACCCGCCCTTAATTTCACTAGTGGACCAGAAAAGTGTGTCGTCCAAATGTGACTGAGCTCAGCGCGCGGTTACCAAAAAAGGACTAAATCGCTATACTCACTTTCGACATGACAGGGCCGACTGCAGTGGCAAGCGAATCGACTGGGGGGTCGCTCTTCACAGTATTTATAATTCGTCGGTCAGGGGCTGCGGCTAGGAACAGCGGAGAAACCGTGATATTCAGTTAAGAGTGAAAAGAAAGATCGGTAAGTACACTCCAACTCTGTGAATGTGTACAACGAATTTCGCACCATCTAGCAATCGTGTCAAAAGTGTCTGACCTCTTTGAATTCTTGTCACGTTTTTACTGAACCCCGCACGATTGACAAGCTCAATGCGTTCTATAACGGGGATCCTACGTACATGTAACATGTACTGATTGGAATTTCGTGTAAGAGGGAAAAAGATGCTGACGCTATTTACAACCTTCAGCGGTAGCATCAACCAATGGATTATTAGACAAAACCCCACCACTTCATGTCTTCATTGCCTTGTGTCGAAACGGGATGCCCGACACCCTGGGCGTAAATGCCTTCTAGCTTACTGCCCAAGACATACGTCGTCCATCCGCTGACAGGACTGTTGGCGAGCACTTGATCCGGGGCAGTGTCGTAACCAAGGACCGGGGCCCAGTTCGCAAGCGACTGATTAAATGTAGATGTACCAATGATGGTGTCCGCAGAGCCTAGATAGAGTTGAATGCTAGGGTAAGTGCCAGTATATCCTGGGTACTGATTCTTGATGTTCGCTGTGGAAGCAGCAGAATAGACGATAGCGCTTTTGAAGACGTCAGGGTAGGCTCCTGCCAAGGTAAACTACAGGTCGCATTATCAGAGGGCTCACGGAGTCCAATATTCAAGGCGACAAGACTCACTGCCATTGTGCCGCCGGAAGATACCCCAGAGACAAATACTTTGCTGGTATTAGCTTTGTATGTGCTGACCACGTAGGCAGCCATGCTAGCAATTGATTGACTTGCGCCACCACCGTTATGCAAAAGTGATTTGCTAGAGGTCGCATCCCATGCACCTTGAGGGGATTCTGGGTAAACGGCGATAAAGCCGTACTGCTCCGCCAGCGTTGCGTAAGGTGTGGATGCGAATTGCTGCTGAGCGTTGCCGGAAGCGCCGTGGAGTGTAAACACGACGCCAGGAGAGGCCGCGACTTTGGCTGGAACGTAGATGTACATGTTAAGGTTACCAGGGTTACTGCCAAAACTGGTGACCTGTGTTAGAGCAGCTCGCTTGTCAGTCGGTCCCGCCATTGACAGATTGCCAAGGAGGGTGAGTGCTAGAAGATTGAGAAGCCTCATTGCGAACACAGCACCTCTGATGATGAATGAGAATTAACAAGGACAAGATGGAAATTGTTCGGACTTTCGTTTGAGCAGGGAGTGAACGATCGATCTGTTGACGATCTTGTGCTGGGGGCCCTTATATAACAGAAGAAGTTAGGCGTTCAAGAACGCAAGCTCATTCTGAATTGCCGTGGCTCGAAGCACAACCGCCGAGTATGCTGGAGTCCGAGTGCGTCCCAAGCGTTTCTCAACTGGCTGGAGGTCAGGAAATTGTCATCGCCGCATGTGTTTGCCAATATGCAAACTAACAACAATCCTGATTATGGATGATCCATCTCAATAGAAAGGTGGCAGAACGCAAGGGGATTGCGGGGTGGATCGCGTTACGGAATAGCGTAAAACAAGGCGCTAGACTACGTTGAGAATATCCGAAGCATGACAACTTACTGAGCAAACAAAGCAGTACACGCGAAGAGGAAATTCTTGGTTTTGCTGGACGGAGGAGATCTCGACAACGGCGTTCCTCTTGTTAGAACAGACAATTGGAGGCTGCACGTCTTGAGAAGGGTAAAATTCGCCGGGTACTGGTACCCCGTTTTCTCGTGCCCAGCCGATCCTCAGTGGCCTTACCACCATGGGTCATGACAATGGAAGGGTTGGCCGAATTGTAATAGTCAAACAAGGGCTGGAAAAGGCAATGATGACAGCGAGGAGAACCCAGCAATGGCGCTAGTAAAATCGCTGTCATGCGACCTTGCTTGGGAACATCAAAAACTACCTAGCTATTGTTTGGACTTTGGAGAGGCCAGTGATAGAGCTTGGCTTTGGTCAGGATGAGATCGAGACCGAGGCCGTCGACAAAAGGCGGGTTCGGAAATTCTGAAAGTGGACTAGCCTCCCAGATATCCGATCGGCACAGTTGCGAATTGGTTTTCGGACAATTTGCATTACCAATCGAGGAATGTGCCACATTGGCATACCAGCTCTCACTCCCCACTCACCAGGATTGAGACGCGTCGTCTTGTGGACAGGAGGCTACGCCGAGTAAGGACCTAACCCAAGCTGCAAATTCGTAAATACGGGGTAGAACATAAGGGGTTATTGGATCCCAGATATTCTCACCCTTGATTACATTAAACTCGTGGTTCCTGCCCACTTTTGCTCGGCCCAATCTTGAACTTCATCCTAGTCGGGCCCGTGCTCTCATCGCGCCTCTTGTTCTCAAATTTCTGCCTGAGCTTTCGTCTACCCCCTCCTGTTTGACGACTATGACTACGAATATAGAAGATCACAAAAACGAGACCATCTCAGATACTAGTGTTGGTGGGAAGCCATCTATTGTTAACCTTGAGAGGGTTCCCAGCTCAGTGATGGGAAGTAGCCTGGAACTCGATGAGGAGACGAACAGAAAGTTGCTTCGAAAAATCGATCGAAAGTTGATGCCTGTTGTAAGTCATGGCCCTTTCCTTGTCACGGTTGAATCTAACTTTGTAAGCTCTGCTTCACTTATGCCCTTCAATACTACGACAAGGCTATCCTCAGCCAGGCCGCCATATTTGGCCTGAGACATGATCTAGAGCTCACCACCGGTCTCAAATACTCTTGGGTCTCTTTGATTTTCTATTTTGGATACATCGCAGGCACTTATCCAATTTCGTTCCTCGCCCAACGGTACCCGATGCGAATTGTCTGCACGGCTATCTGCGTAGCCTGGTCTTTCGTCATTCTCTGCACGCCCGCTTGTACATCCTATTCAGGACTCCTTGTCAACCGTTTCATGCTTGGTCTCATCGAGGCAGGTGTATCTCCCATCTTCATGCTTGTCGTGGGCCTCTGGTACACCCACTCAGAGCAGATATCACGATCCAGCTGGTGGTATTCTTGCAGCGGCGGATCTCTTCTTGTCTCACCTCTTATCAATTACGGACTCGGCCATATCAAGGGAGGTGCACTCAACTCTTGGCAATGGATGTATATCATTGCCGGTCTCGCCACCCTAGCTTGGGGTATCGCTCTCTGGTGGCTGTTTCCCGACAGCCCTCAGAATGCCAAGGGGTTCACAGAAGCCGAGCGCCGCCTTCTTCTCGAGCGAGTCCGACAGAACAATGCTGGTGCCGAAGACAAGCAGTTCAAGCCCTATCAATTCCGAGAAGCCTTGCTGGACTATCGAATGTGGGGCATAATTGTCTTGTCTACTGTGTCTTGCACTGGCTCCGGCGCCGTGACGACTTTCGGGACCGTTGTGTTCAAGGACATGGGTTTCGACGTCTTTACATCTCTACTGCTCAATCTTCCTATTGGTGCTCTGGCCTTTATTTGTATCCTCAGTTCAGGTTATATTGGCAGAAGAGTTCCCAACTCTAGGCTCTACGTTGTTATAGGAGCATGTGTTCCTGTCATCTTGGGTTGTTCCTTGATCTGGCAACTTCCAGACTCCAACAGAGCAGGTCGTATCCTTGGCTTCTACCTTATCAACTTCTTCTCGTCCGCATGGGTTCAGTGTATTGGCCTGGGCACGTCCAACGTTGCTGGACACACCAAGAAAGCTGTGTATGCTGCCGGGACGTTTATAGGCTATTCTCTCGGGAACATCATTGGCCCTCTCATGTTTGACGCGTAAGTACATCAGCATACCACGTCTGACCGTACGCATGCTAATCGTCATAGAAAATTTGCACCGCGCTACGACGAATCATTCACAGGAATCATGATCTGCTTTGCGGTCTGTGTCTTTGTTGCTATCACGCTCCGATGGGCACTCGACCGAGAGAACAAGAGGCGCGACAGATTCCACGGTCCACCGGAGCTGTCTCACGGTTTGCAAGACTGGACGGATCGGGAGAACGAATCCTTCAGATATAATCTTTAGTTTGTGGCGAACAATGGAATGTACTCGGAAGAGATATCAGAGCTACAAGAAGAATGAGGCTTGCTTCAAAGTTTAGTGATAACTCATTTTCTCCGTGTGAGGTAATTCAGTATGCGGAATCCTGCTTTCACGCTACCACACCTGCGAAAAAACAACGACACCGCTGCACTGAACTTGATTGCAATCACAACTGCGACGGGAGTACTGAGCAACTAAGGTACTTGGCACTTACTTACGTAAGTACGTACTCATAGGGTTAAGTGCGCCAAGTGGTCCAGGCGGAGGTGCAGGGTGGGGTTAGTTTAAGCTTAACTCAAAGTCTCTGATTGGCCGGTGAGGCGAATCATTGTCTGGATAAGTAGTCAAACAGTACTGCCCTGGTAACTTGGTAAAGCTCAAGACCAGTAAACTTTCTTGTCATCTCCTCATGCATTTGCGTACATTTATGATAATATCATAGAGCTTTTGTCATAGTGGTGCAAGATGCAATTCATGACGAAGGGGTTAAGGAGATCGATTTCGTCTAATGTAAATAATGCAGCCTGATTGTTTTGTATTCGCCAAATTCGGAAGGCAGGTTAACCTGATTTCTTCATTTCTCACCTGGATATCTCGGCTAACGAAAATGCGTAACGGAAATTCGAGACGTATACCTGAGCGGTTATCAGAATAAGCAATAGCTATGACTATATAGTCGAGAAACACCAACGACAGACTAGATTTGGCTCCTACATCATTTAAGCGAGGTTGATCGACGAGGAGCTTCACATAAATAGACTCCATTGTATCGGACAATTCTGATGCATGAGAACAACAGGGTTTGTGTTTGAATCATGTCATAGTGCTTAAATGGCAGTTTAAAGACAAGAGCCAGCTCTAGAGAAATGTAAGACCTTCCGTTCGACCGTCGCTTCGCCCGACATACTCTCGCCCGTAGAGTACTCAACAAGAACTACCCAAACCACCCAGAAGCACGGCCCAGGGAAAGCATCGGCCTGTGACTAGCGTATCCCCAAAAGGCATATGTTTATGGCTGTCTAGTAGCGCTTTTACCCAAGAGCGGCTCTAGACAATCATGGTCTTGACCCATCTTCGACGTGCCAAGGTCAAGCTCACCGCAGGTGTCGACACTGGAGCCAAGGTGGTAGGTTGAGCGACTGTAGCCACAGGCACAGAAGTCGCATTCACGGCCTCGACTACAGCTGCTCCGCCGTTCATCATCTCCAAGCTTGTATGATAGTCGCTCGTCCCGTTGTCAGGGTCCTGATCAGTAGGGGTGCAGCTAGAATCAGCCGCAACAGATCCGTGCTCACCGCTGATGAACTGGCCATCTTCGTAACCACCACCGCCGGACGCGAGCATGTTCTCGGCAGCATCTTTGTACCAGCCGTTGATGAAGTCGCCGTGGAAGCAGTATCCGTTGCCTGAGGCGCTGCCGCACGACAGCTGAAAGGGAGCGTCGCCTCTCCAGCCGTCGGGCACGACAGCTTTGGTGTTGTACCGGGCAGCATAGCGAAGCTGGGGGATCGCCTTCATGCCCTCAGGACACTTGTTGGATTCGTTGCTCCAGTCGTACGCAGCGAGGTTGTCCGGGTTGACACAGTTGGGAAAGCGAAGCGAGACCTGCAAGTGCTGGTCGCAAGTGCTGGTGGGAAATTTGGCGATATCAGATTCACGCACGTCCGATCCTTCACAGAACCACTCCAATCCGTTGGAAGGGTGATCAGCCTCGGATTGGGTCTGCGCAGACGCGTTGCCGGAGATCATGGCGAAATCCTGGGGGATGGCGATCTCGGCGAAGGCATTGGTGTAATAGGTACTGAAGCGGAAGACAGGCACCTCAGTGAAGGTGTCACCATCGACGTAGTACAGTGTGGGGACCCCTGGCAGTCGGGTCAGATGCAAAGAAGCAAGATCAAGGTAAATTGCTGTCATACGTACAGTAAACGGACAAGTCGTTGGCATTCTGGCCGCTATAGCAGCCTTTCTGCAGGTCAGCCGAGGTGGGGAGAATATTGGTGACCGCGTCGCTGCCGAAGAAGGTGTGCATATGCGAAGTATAGGTGCCTGGAACGACAATTGGATCAACGTTCTTGTTCATGAATGGCTCATGGTGAAGTTCGGTCCAAGCTGCAGACAGACTGACGCCGGCGAGGAGAGATAGTATGGAACGCATGTTGATGAAAGAAGGAGAGAGATAGATAACAAGTTTGTAAGAAATGATTGTCCGATAGCCGATCACGACTAGGAAACTTGATCAACGAATGACTTTGTGGAAGAAAGGAGTGAAACACATGGCTGTACAAACAAGAATGGATTGGCAGGTAGACATTACTTCTGGATAGCAGCTCTGATCAGACTCTTATATGTCCTGTAGCCAACGCATGGTGATGCTTTCGAGAATTCTCTGTGTGTCCGAGATACTAAAGTAGACTAGGATTGGAGCCCCATTCGGCGGAGTAGCTACGTATGTATGCGTGCTCCTAAACTCCACGTGTGGATACTCGTCTGATTCCAAGTTCAGGACTTCGTCCAGATGTCGGTCGGGATGACCAGGCCAGCCTAGTCTGGTTTCAGATCTAGGAAGCCAAGATTTCTTGCAAGCGGCAGCTGAACCCCATGCGCCTAGCTCGACGTGCCGGAACTTCTGTTCTGTAGACTTTAGTAGTAGCATTGGCACTGGTCCAGCGAGGCTAAATGATTGTGAAAATAGAACCAGTATGTCGATCTAGCAGTCCCATATACGTCGAGAAAGAATCCTCGAATGACATTCTCTCCAGCGAATGCAAGGAAATCTAAGCTTTCTGGGAAGTTGTGTTTCTGTCCTTGCTTTGAAATAACGCACCCAGTACCCTGAAGCCAGATGCCTCCAGCTTGCTGTACCGAACATATGTCGTAGAACCACTGCTGAGACTGCCTGTTCTGCAGTGGAATTATAGTTGACCACTTCGGCTTGGTCTCCAAGTCACGCATTGGAGGCGGATGTACTTTTGTACTGGCAAGGGATGTGATTACGCAAAACAAGCACGAGACAATGATTGCCGTTCTGGACCCAAATCTGCCACTATCTATTGGGGACCGCGGTATGATAGGTGTGGTGACGTGCTAGGCGCTAAACCCCATTGATAATATCCGAGTATCCGAGGTAATTTCACATTCCACAGTTTGAAGTACTCGAAGACTCGCTTTCTTGCGGCACGAAATGGAGACTAGTGTCAGGTAATGCTGTCCGATAGATAAAGATATATCCGTGGGAACTACTCTATTCTCGTAATATCCGAAGACAACGCTCTACGCAACGCAGAAACCAATATCCTGTTCCGGACCTTCAGAATGAGTTTGGTGAGATGTATTCTCTGAGACCAAATACACTCCAAATAACAAGCTGCCTCACCTAAGATCTGCTGCCCATCATCAGCTGCCTTTCCTCATTCCCCTTCTTCCTCAATTGTGAACGGGCCAGCCATCATAAATCTGACGATGCGACGCTTTCTGCGCTCATCAACGCGCTCCGTTGCGCAGTGGTTGAGAGCACACCCGACGGGACTAGCTCCTGCGGGAGACCTTTGTCGCCCCATACCAATCTTCTCTTCGTCTACCGGGGCATTCACTGGAATTTTGATCGGAACTATAGGATCTGCCCTGTGGTTTGCAGAAGGCACAGAAGGGCCTCGGTGTGATTTCCAGGCACTGCAGGCTAGAAGCTATGCCAGTCCAGCATCTACAAGGAAAGTATGTTTTGACTTCTACAACACCTCATTAACGTGGCTTATTGCATTTTGAGAGACTAAGGATGTACCATTAGGGAATCGCACAAATTCGCCAAGAACTCGGAGACGCTTCGGTGAGCACGGACGAAGACGATATAGAAGAGCACGGATATTCAGAGTGGTCAACATCCAACTCATCCGTCAGGCCGAAAGCTGTCGTGCGCCCAACGAGTACGCAGGATGTGGCCAGTATAGTCAAGATTTGTTCCCACTACAGAATCCCAATGGTACCATACGGCGCGGGTTCCAGTGTAGAGGGCAACTTTTCCTCCACACACCCCGGGGTCTGCATTGACTTATCCCTTATGGACAAGATTGTGGAGTTTCACCCAGACGACTTGGATGTGACTGTGCAGGCTGGCGTAAACTGGACTCAACTTAACGAAAGCAATGAACTTAAGGCGAGTGGGTTGTTCTTGCCTCTCGATCCTAGCCCAACGGCACAGATTGGTGGCATGATTGCAACGAACTGTAGTGGAACCAATGCCATGAGATATGGTACGATGAAGGACTATGTTCTAAATTTGACTATTGTACTAGCGGACGGCTCTATCATCAAGACCAGGCGTCGGCCGCGCAAGACTTCGGCTGGTTACAACCTGAACGGCCTATTTACCGGATCCGAAGGCACACTTGGAATTATCACGGAGGCAACCCTAAAACTAGCGGTTGTACCATCTGACTACAGTGTGGCAACCGCTACATTTTTAACCGTAAAGGATGCTGCGGACGCGGCGTCCAAGATGATTCGCAAAGGCATCAACCTCGCCGCTTGCGAACTGATGGATGATGAACAGATGAAAGTCATAAACAAGAGCGGTGGGGTGGGAGGAAAGATGTGGGAAGAGTTACCGACTCTGTTTCTCAAGTTCGTGGTTCTTCACACCCGATCACAGTTATTTCAAACTGACGAAGCACACTAGGTTTTCAGGTTCGCAACAAAACATCGAGGACAGTGTCCGGTTGGCAAAGAGCGCCAGTACTTCTTCCAAGTGCCAGACATTTCTCTCTGCGAAGAAGAAAGAAGACATGGACTCTTTGTGGTCCGCGCGCAAACAAGCTCTTTGGGCTTGCCTTGCTGCCCGCCCGGAGGGTACGGAAATCTGGTCCACCGATGTAGCAGTTCCAATCTCACGTATGGCACAAATGATAGGTAGCGTACCAAATTCGCCTGTCTCAATTTTGGCATGCAAAGCTGACGCGTATCGAAGAGGAATCCAAAAACGATGCAATGCAGATGGGCCTCTTCTCCAGCGTACTTGGTCACGTTGGTGACGGCAACTTCCATCAGATGATCATGTATGATCCGAAGAGACCATCGGACGTGGCGAACGTGAAGGGCTTCATAAATGGAATGATGCAAAAAGCTTTGGAGATGGAAGGAACTGTGTCGGTAAGACGTCGGACAATTGTTGTGTCTGAAATTTGTTCAGCTCTGATACGCAAACAGGGCGAACATGGCATCGGCATTGGGAAGAAGGTATGTCGGCGCGCACTCATGGAATTCCAACGACACATGATGAAGTGATACTAAAAGCCGCCGTAGCATTGCTTACTTGAAGAATTGGGCTCTGATACAATTGGGGTAATGAAGGCTATCAAAGGTCGCTTGGATCCTCAGTGAGTTACGCAAAGTATGAGTTGTTGCAACGCCTTTGCTGACATGAAAATCTAGCTGGCTCATGAATCCTGGGAAGATATTTGATGAATAAAGTTGGAAGTTGGCTCCTCTGAAACCACGTGTGACATACTTAGACTTCCTAGAGCGCAATGAGAGGTCGTTCCTTTGAGAGTGCTTCGGTCGCTGGGCTGAGTCATCTGGCTGTGACGAATAGTCAGCGTTGAAATAGTCCCATGAATCGTATTCCATCGTTCTAGCTTTCTCTGGGTAGGAATGTTTGAGGATGAGTGCTGGTTTGAAGGCTTTTTCAAGGCCATTGGGACGCGTCTTTCCAACCAGCATCACACGCGAATGTGATATTCTTCTTCTCAAGCTTAGTTAGTGGTGATGCATTCTTCGCGAAGTCCTTGACGGACCTTCGATAGGAGTTTGCTAATACGAGAATGCTTTGAACATCCTTGACGTATACTGGTGTCGCCCAACTGAGTACTGCTGGATCCTTTCCAGACTACATCCTGCTTCCATTGATTCCCACGATCCGGCCGAGATACTTGACCTTCTGAATGTGGAATTCGCATTTTGCGACAGTAGACGCCGTGCCCCTTTGGTCGATCCAGTACTTTCCGTATGTGTCTTTCGTGCTCTCTCGAAAGTCGCTGCAGATCAGAATGTGGTCTAGATGCCCAGACCGTACAGAGAAGATCGAGATGCTCTCTCCGAGGGTCGTTAACGTAGGTAGTGGTGGAACGTTATAGACCAGCACTTTCAAGGTTAGTGGGTGGGTCCACAACCGAGGGGTACATCTCTACCTACCAATCCACTACTTCACTGAGTGAGGTGAGTATAAGAAACCCCGCATCCCTCCTCCAAGCAAGTTCCTGCGAAAATCTCCCCCTGCCGCTATGCAACCATCTGTTGAGCAAGAAGTCAGTAACCACGCTTGTGTCATTCGACGGATTCATACTCCCAGCCCATATCAGCATCATTGTATTTCTTACACGCTTTCATCCTCACATGTTGTTCCCGTCTCCATCATTGCGAGGTCAGAATTATTGATAAGAGTTGTGCAACTCAAAATATGTCCTCCGACAGTCGAGGTAGCCTTCAATTTCAACCGCCCAACAGGGCAGCGTCTCCGCCCAACTCAAAGATACGCAGGGCATACTTATCGTGCGAGACGTGCCGCAAGCGCAAAACTCGCTGTGTTGCCAACCCCTCAGGCCAGTCTCAGCCATGCCAGCGATGTGAGCTCGACGGACGAGAGTGCGTAATGCGGAGCACGAGGAACGCATCCCGCAGGCGCCCAAGACATCAGCCGCCCCGAGACCCATCAATTTCACCAGCCTCCATAGGCAACCTCAACAACAAAGCAAATGCAACCGGCTCCATCAACGTTGGGAGTGGTGGCGACTGTCCCAGTGACCTTGAGAGAGCCGCGGCTGAAGCTGGAGTGTTCCAATGTGAGCCTTCACCCATCGAGCCGTCTCCACCAGCTTCGCAGCCATCCGCACGTAGGAGGATTATCTCAGCCCATCTGCACAACACAGCCGATGACCTGGACTTACTTACGTTCACTGCTGCTAGTCAACAATGCAAGGACTACGAGGTAACGCCCCAAACGGTGACTTGCCAAAGTCAAGCATCAATCGTACCCACCATGCCAAGCGGAACTTCCGACTGGGAACGGTTCGTTCTGATCAAAAGACGAATTTTAAGCAAGACTGAATTGATCGAGTATCTCGACTTCTATTTTAGTATCATATGGTCGATACGTCCTGTCGTACCTCCATTCTACCGGGATCGTGAGCGGTATGGCATCTTACCGATCGAGGAGCCACTGCTAGTTCTTACACTCATCACGATCTCATCCCGCTACCACGTACTCTCCGGGCTCCACGGTGAGATTCGTTCAGAAAGAATACACTGGCAGACATGGAAGATTTGTCAGCAGTATTTGCAGTCAGCTCTCTGGGGCTCATCATACACACGTACCCCTGGTGCCGTTGCATCCATGTTACTACTAATTGAATGGCATCCCAAGGCAATCAACAATACAGTCGCATTCAGCAATGACGAGGAACCTGAAAGTAATGTCACGGGATCTCAAAACTTGTTGCAAAGAGAACCGCTGGGTACACAATCGGGACAGCATACTTCGTTGACGAGCCAGCAAAGATACGGCATGGCAACGCTCCTCGAAGACCTCAATATTGTCGCTCCTGCTTATAGAAGTAATAAGATGTCATGGTAAGTGCTACATTATACCAAGTTTGAGTGACCTTTCTCTTCTCATAGTTGGCCACGGACCTTTGACATGTTGCAGGATGCTTCTCTCGAATGCCATAGCTCTGGCTCAAGAAGGCTGCTGTTTTGATTACGATCAACAAAGCACAAACAAAGAACCGCTCAAATCGACAACGCAGTCTGCTAAAGATACTTTGCGGCAGCAATGGAACCAGCTAAATTGTGTTTTCATATATTTAACCGATGAACACTTGAGCTTGCGTTTGGGGTTGCGCCCGCTTTTGCCCGAAAGCCAGCGCGAGGCAGTACGTTACCGATTCTCGACGACCTTCGCTAGCCTGCTTCCCGACAGCGCTCTCTGGGAGAGTTACTACGAACTCTTTAACGAGACAAGAAGATTGCGTACACTCCTTCAGTCCCTTCGGAAACCGGGAGTATCAACACCACCTAGTGCCGACATCCTACCTGAAGTACAGCATGTAGACAGAGCATTATCGCGTTGGAGAAGGAGCCACGAGAATCTAAAGGCAGACCAATCCGAGTTGATGACCACATGCCTCGATCTTGAGTATCACTACATGGTCATGTATAGCTGCGCTCCGGCTGGCCACGTTCTATACAACAATGTCTCCATAGCATTGGCTGATGACAAGAGACAGGCTCTGTTGGTACTGGATAAAAAAGCAGCAGATGCCAGCCGTGACATACTCTCTATTTTTACAAGGGTTTCCAGACCCTCACACATTACGCGGTATCTCCCTGTACGGTGCTGGTTGTTCATCGTCTCCGCCAATCTTCATCTTCTGAGGGTTAGTTTCCCTCTTCTCGTCATAACCACGAAAGCTTGAATTCGCCTTCTGAGAACTGATACTGTTGAAATTCTTCTAGAGCACCTTAATTATAAATCCGCACGTGAGCGAAGCACATAAAAATGTACAGCTTTTGCGTAAATCCATCAAGTCAATGCGCGAAGGAGCCGCGGATGACATTCACATGTCGGTGCGGTATGCACGCTTCCTAGACATCCTGCTCGATGCGTCTCTTTATTCATCCTCTCGGGTACAAAGCCCATTGGGAGCAGATCAAGAGGGCTTTGTCCATCAAGGGGTAGGGACGACCATGATTCCCCAAGTGAGGGATGTTCTTGATGAAGTGTCAGGTTCTCGCCAGGACACAAGTTTCATGGCGACCTCAATATTAGACGACTTAGAGATGTTCGATTTCCCTCAAAGCTTTACGGTGCATGGAGATGCGCTTCAATGGTGGAATAACTTTGGTGCTTCTTCAATAGCTGGCTGGACGGAACCATAACTGTTATCTAGAATCCCGCTCTTCTAAATAAGCCTACACTTATTAGCTTATTGGAAGGCGAACAGACCGGATTATGGATTTTTCAATATTTAAAGTTGTATAGAATGGCTAAGGATCGCAAAGTTGCTTCCTCTCGACGAAGCCGCTCTCGGCATCGGACCCGAGTACTTCACTGATCTTGTCTCTCGTAACTAGCTGGTAAACCTTCACGTGACTACAACTCAATAGTGAGGAGTCTCGCGTTTTAGCTTCGTCACTATCCGTTTTCGAGTTCTTCCACGCATGCATTCGAGTGCAATGTACCGCTGTTTCGGGAACATGAAGTCATCCCTTCCTGGCTCAGGTGTCCGGCAAGTGACAATGTCTCTTTCTACACAGTGGACGCCAGCGAATATTGGACCGAAAGTCCTTCAGTCCTGGATAATTTCGGTCCTGATTAGAATAAGGGCGAGGATATCCTGCCAGCAGCTCCCGCTATTCTGCCCCCAACTGTGGCTGCGGCTGCCACACGACCGCCGGTCTCGGGCACATACGTAAGCTGGGCTCTGCGTAGTTAGCATTCGAACGGGTTGGGCTAATCAGAGGCCGTTAATTGACTTGTAGTTGATTAAATTATTTTGGTAAAAAGTACGGTAATTGACGAATTGGCCTAAGTTGACGAATTGGCCTAAATTGACGATTCTGTCGAATTGGGCTAATTGACCAGCTGCCTAATTGACTAGCTGCCTAATTGACTAGCTGCCTAATTGACTTGCTCAAAAGGCTAGTAGCGATCTGCTAGCGGTAGTTTATAAACGAGGTCGAGGATTTGCGACGCTTATTTGGGTAGGTTAACTCTGCGAGGCGTTGCTGCTTTTGATTGCGACTGCTGTCTCGTGGGTAGCCTCGTTAAGTACTGCTCTGGCCTCGGGTAGGGTAGCGCTAGCTGTAGAGTGGGTAGTCGTACTCTACGTAGTCGTATTAGTAGACGAAGGGATCGTTAACTTCGCGATTATTCTTTTTTTGCGGTATATTAATGTTGGGAATAGCTTTAATTGGCGGTAGCGGTAGCGGTAGCGACGGCGAGGTTGACGAAGTGGTAGTTGTAGGTAGGTGGGTGGGTATGGGTAGTTGGGCTCCGGGCTCGGAGGCAGCGTAGGTCAAGCCACAGCCTGGGGGTAGAATAGCGGGAGCTGCTGGCAGGATATCCTCGCCCTAGAATAATTGAGTAATCTGAGTATTTCTTCTTCGTCATTCGGCTGTCCGAGGCCTTGACAAAACGTGCCTCTTACTGGATTGTCAAGGACAGCTGTCCGCACTTAGGAACTGCCTTCTTGTCATCTCAACGACGTTCGAGACACTGATTTAGACGAATCGATCGTTTCCGACTTTCTGTGGGTGCCAGACCTCCTATTCTATGTATCCCGACTTTATTCATTGGCATGGGCTTCCCACTATGGCGCCACGATGTTCAGAAAGTTGGGTCCACTATCGAAGCACTCACTCTGGAAGATGGCTATAGCATAATAATTACTGAACGTGATGTTGAGGAGATGGGCATCACTTTAACCAAAGAGGGGAAGGAACAAGGCTCTGGGTGGATTTGTAAGCTTTAAATTTCTGCCCCTCGCCTGCGATAGTTACCTATTGTCCGCCACCAATGGCTTCTCACGTATCGACACCGTCGCTTTGTCATCCTCTGGGCTGATATCCAAATCTCCCTCCCTCAACCCTCTTCTGCTTCTTATACTCATCGGAGACGTCCGTCCATCAAAGATGTAGTCCTTCCTCGCTGTCTGCCACAACGGAGAAAGTGATCCATTTGTCTGCTCAATGGCCGGAAGTGCCAGCGTCAGCCCATTGTTTCCACCATTCGTCCGGTTGTTGCTATCAGCCAACGTGGCAGAAGGTATGCTCTCGGGGCCTCGACAGTCGCAGGCGCTCATTCGAGTGAACGCCAATAGTTTGTTGAGCACGACGAATTCAACTTTGAGCTTGACGCTGTAGACAAATGGCTTGCACATTGTCTGAATCTCGAATTTGTCGCTGTATTCCAGGATTATCAGGCCTGTGTCTAGTATAAAGACAACAGCAAACAGTGAAGCCAAGTGTCGCACCATGTTTGTAACAGCCCTTGGTTTGATTGCACTCAACGGCTTGAGGCTTTTGTAGCCTTCGTATAGGAAGAGAGATGCGATGATGGTCTCCTGGATCGTGAAAACGACGAGTTCGACCTTTTCGTATATCTTGAAGGGCATTACGTATTGGTTGGGGCTAGTGTTGGCGAGGAAGAAGATCACCGTCTCCGGGATATGCATCGTGACGGCGTTGAAGATGATCATCGTTAAGATCCAACGGATCTTTCGTTGGCTGTGAACAACCAGGTGCAACCGTGACCAAAGAACAATGGCCTGGCCTGTTACCATCGAATACCAAGCGATCGGGATAATGATACTCGATGCGAAGATCGCTTTCTGGTAGTAGCCGAAGTATCGCAGAATGAAGGCGATCACATTGATGTTGATGCCAGTATTAGACACGATCATACTCCAGAAGTATCTTCCTCGTCGGCGCTTAAACGTCGTGAATATGGAGAAAAAGGTTTCAATCGTATTGTAGTACGCGGTCGCAGCGAATGCAATCATTACCATCGCCTGGACCTGCGAGACCGAGATGGTGCCCGTCTCTCCAGCCATCTCTCAGTCGAGAAGTCCAACTCGGTAAATCGACGGCGCCAGTAGTAGTTCGTACCTTGGGGAAGGCATTATGCAAGAGGAACACAACCGAGCGGTGGCGGCGGCGTCATCAAGACGAGATGGAAGATGCGACGGCGCACGCAGCCTTACTACGTAGGGTAGAATGGATGCTCACTAGTACTTAAGACGAGCGCCATTCATCTGCCAGCTGCAGACTGCACTCTCATATGCAGGTTCATGACCCCAGGTGCTGCCACAATAAGGTTTGGGAACCACCCCACGAAGAAAGCTTATTTGCTGTGTGGGTGCTACCGATCCGCGTCGACAGTGAAACCAAAAAGATCGCAGAGCCAGTCAGGGTCTTGTTACTGACTCGTTTGATGCTCCGGCTCTCTAGAGGAGGCGAAGCAGGCGGCGACGGTAAGTTGTCTGTAACCTCCGTACACTACCTGGTCGCTGTGAATTTGGATTACACCGCGAGGTTGCATAAAGTCAATATGCTTTTCAGGAAGGTCGAAGCAGCTCGCCTCCAACTATTGGTTCCCAAAGACATGGCAAGCTTGATGAGTTGCCCCGTTGCCTCAGGGTCGCCGGGGAAGCGTGGGCAAGTGATTGGTCCTGGAGAATTCACACGGAAGAAGACTGGATGTGGTTCGAAGCTGTTCTTTGTGGAGTTCAGATGGCAAACAAGTTTCCTGGGGGACCGGAAACACTATTGAGATCTGGCCGTTTGAAGCGCAGGATGGGTTCTGCCCACTGATAATAAAATGAGGACTACTCTGGTTCAGTCTGACGTCTTTGTCTGCAGATCATTGCAAAATTTTGCTTAGCTTGAGACAGACAGACTTCCCAAAGTTTCCAACATGTGTTGGTCGAAAAGTGCAGGATTGGAATCGAATTCTAGTTCGCCGAGTAACCACACATGGCTTTACCGTTAAGGAAAGTCTGGGACTATCGAGGATACATAAGCCGATTTGAGCAACTCGACTTTGAAGCAAGATACTAATCCTGTCTTCTACATGGATGCTCCATAGAGAAAGATCTAGCTTTGTGTCAACTCTCTTTCGAATGCTTGATTGAGTGTTAAATAAGCATTTCGAGCTGGGTTTGATAGCGCACTGGGATTTATATCACGTAGGAGGAAGACCGAAGTGCTCTCCTCAATACATACGCTGATGCTTTCACTCGACTTATGAATTTGGCTTAACCTGTGCTGGACTCATGTCTTAACTTTACATAAAGCACGCAGCCTGATAGAGTCATCTATCTTCACGTTTATCGTCGAAAGCTCGAATTCGCTTTGGGGCAAGACTTCTGCTCGTCGACCCTTCAAATATGGGCAGAAAGTTTCATCATCCTTCTACATTGAGGCTCCATGAATCAGTAATTGTTGATGAGGGAGCATAATTGAGTCACGAGAGTGGTAATACACGTGAGTCTAGCTTAGTGACTAAAATAGATCATGAGAGGAGAGAGACTGCATAAGAGTTGCGCTTCCGAGTTGGGGAGATTGAGACTAGCCATGCGCTACCACTGCACTCGCGAAATTTACTGCTTGAATGGAAAGGGTTGACTTCATGTCTCTAGTACGATATCGAACTTTGAGATCCCGCCTATGCAGATAGCGATACTTTGCTGGTGACACTACATCTTCTTTGAGCGAGACATAAACTTCAGAAATTTACTCTCTTTGCTTGAAACATTCGAGGTGTCTCCGTTCAAGTTTTCCAAGTTCAAAGACAAGTCAGAGTTTTAGGACTTACTCAAAGATCCTTTGCAATAGCTCGTAAGTAAACACTCAGGTCTTCGAGAATTGCTATTCAGAACCAAGACTTTATCACGACGGGCAAAGTGATACCTTG